TGTGGAATAATCTGTATTTTACATTAACATATTATACATCTCTCACAGAACATTAAAAAAAACCAAACAACCAAACTACAATGAGGAGCAATTGGCATGTGGAAAAGATTAATTTCCAAAAAAAAAATCACAAAGGCATCATGAATTGCCAGCTCAGCATACAGGTCAGCCCAATTTTTCAATTAAGAATGAGTGAATGTATTTCATCTTCATTATTATCAGACTTGCCCTAATGCCCTGCTGGGACACACCACCAGTATTTTCAATCCAATAGGGACTGGAAGGTTGTTAAATACCAGCAGCTGAGTTGTGCTGCAGGAGACAGTGCTCAGGTTTGGGACAGAAATGTGTTGGACAGACCCTGTGCCTACTGCCCCACAGAGCGCACTGCAAGTGGAGGGCAGAGAGTGGCATGGAGGGGACATTCACCCCTTTGCAAGGATTTGCACAGGCACAGCACAACACTAATTTCTACAATGGGTGGTAAGAAGAATCCTATATGCCATGAAGTGGATGTTGACCAGGCTTGAGTTCCCTGAGGGGAAAACACAGCCTGGAGGACATGAGTTTCTGGTCCTGCTGCACAAAATTGCACAGGCATGTCCCATCACAAGAAGATGGAGCACACGGATGGATAAACAGCCTCCCCCAGAGACTGCATCTGCCCAGGAAGGTGGGATGCTGGCATCTCGAGGCAGATGTGAGGAACTTCAGCTCCTACAGCATAACCACGAGTTTCAGCAGCTCGGCATTTTCCCCGCTTTTTAAATTTCACTTTGTGACTGGGAGATTCAACCAGACAGACAAAAAATCAGAGACTAGCACATCTGCTGTGAAACGCTGTGTCCTCGAGAGGATGGAGGGTTGTTAAATGCTAATAAAGCAGAGTTGCGCTGTAAGAGACAGAAGTCATCTTGAACCCAGCAGGTTGGTCAGGAGATCAAAACAGACATCTTTTAGGGACCAACTTAGAATGTGACTTTTCCTACCTACTGTGAGAAACATTGTTCATTAAACCCTTTCAAAAAGTGTTGGTGTGTTTATTTTCACTGTTGTATGTCCCTAAGCAGGTGGCCCATTAGCCAGAATGCAGAGAGGGCTGAAATGTGCACGTTTGGAAGGGGAGGCGAGGGATGACCCAATACGGCAGTAAGGTAAGCAAGGGAAATAATACATCCAACAAGGAGGGAGGCTGAGCCTCACTAACATGCCTGCTGATGAAGAATTAGACTTCTCAAGGAGGAAACTAAAACCCATTTTCTTAGTGACAGAGAAGAAATATGTGAATTCAGGAGAAAGCTGATCAGGAAAAACATGCCTATGAACAAGAGCTTACTGGTGTGAGAAAAGATATAGCAGGAAGAAAAACAAAGAAACTAAAAACCATTTTCTTAGTGACAGAGAAGAAATATGTGAATTCAGGAGAAAGCTGATCAGTAAAAACACGCCTATAAACAACAGCTTACTGGTGTGAGAAAAGATATAGCAGGAAGAAAAACAAAGGATTGCAAAGATGTTTGGAGACACGGGAATGCATCTACTGGCAGAAAGAAAATTGATACGAAGACTGCTTATTTTAAAGATAAAGACAGGGCTGATACAAAGCCCATTTAATTTTGTTTTGCTCTGATCATGAGCAGTCATAGACACACTGAATAATGAATGATGGCTTGAAGTCAGCATCTGATGAGGTTCACATTTATGAGGTCCTCATCACTGGCATTTCTGCACCCACACTGGATCTCTTGTAATAAATGGATAAGAAAACTGAAAAGTGGCCCAACAGATTGAGATCAATAAAAGGAAGTCTTTTGGGTGTACATTGCAGGTCAGTAACCTGTTTAAGTCACTCTTGCAAAATACACTCAGGATCAGGGACTTCATGGCTAGAGAGCATCCATACCCCAAGCTTGTGCTTTATACTGCAAGTCAGTGTTTGTACTCAGAATGAGTAAGTGTTCATGGTTTAGAAAAACTTTTCCAATAGCCAACATATTGTGTAATCGTTCCTGTTGAGGTGTGCAGCACTTTTCACTGAAGTGGATAGTAGTGGCAGTTGTTGGAGATAAACTGCCAGGGATATGGTATAGCAGTGGACATTACAGCACAGAAAAATGTCTGTCTTTCCAGCAAAAAAGCCCAGCCATATTTTAACCAAACAATTGGTTTCTGTCAATGATCTTAGAATGACTGAGAAGACACCTCCTGTTTTGAAGGAAAGAGACCTTGTGAGTTTAGGTGGCCCTTCTCCCTCATGGGAAAAAGCAGATGCATCCACACCTGGGAGATGGTTTTCAAACTCATTCTTAAAAATCACCAACAAGAATCAGAAGTGTCCTAGAAAA